CCCCCCCAAACACCAAGGAGACTGCGGCTGGGACCTGCCCAGGATCCCAGAACTAATAGGCAGGTTGGCCCTTGGGCCCTGGATTATTGTGCCTGGATGTTGGGTGTTGGAGGAACCTGAGGTGAGGAGAGAGTGGAAAAGACACACGAATGCAGTCAGGACAACCAGTGTCCACTGTGGTCATCCTTCTTGAGCGAAAAATCGCAAGTTTCCAAAGGCTGGAGATTTTAGTGGCCTAGTAAGATTTTTCTTATGATCATTACTTGGTTTTCTTTTTTGTTTGTTTAGTTGAGTCTAGTGAGTTATTTTCAAAACCTAAAGTTAAAAAAGACTCAGTGGCCATCAGTTGGCTTTTCTAGAATTTTCCTTGGTCCTTCATCGGACACTTGTTTTCACTTTTCCTTCTGTTTCTGTTTCTCAGAAACTGTTGGACAAATCAATGCGCGAGAGTTAAGGGAGCCAGCCAGACCCCGGGAGCAAGCGGAGTGTGAGCGATCCGAGAAGTGCCTCCTAATTGATCCTTTATGTGCTGTTTTAATTCAGCCATATTCAGACCCATTATTTTAGCCATAACCACTTCAGATGGCTTTCTTCTCTCGTTTTCAGGAAAAAGAAAAAAAAAAGTGCAGAGGTGCTGAGCTCAGCCCAGCTGAGATGGAAACCAACAGATAGACGTGGTTCTAAAACACGGGGGTGCTGAGAAATCAGCCGGTGCCAGATAACCCTGTAACTAAGAAACGAAAGGGGCCTTCTGATGGCTCCAGCTGAAAAGATATTTTATTTTATTTTCCCGTGTGTGGGATTGGAGACGTGGGCTTCTGAGAGGCAGCCGGGTCCCCTGCTGCTCGCGGGGCTGGCAACGGGCCCCCCTCTGGTGAATGTTATGGAGAATTGGGAGGGGATTCCATGCCTGTCTCTCCCCTCAGCTCTTTTTTCTTTTGTCTTCTTTGAAGAATGACTTTAGACATTTTATTTACATATTTAACCACGGATGAAAGAGGGGAGAGAGAGCATTTGGGGGCTGTCCTGGGAATAGCGATATGTTTAAATGAATGGAAATCGTATTAGGCCTCTAAAATTTTGAGCAAAGGTTTTTAATGAAACTTTACAATGAAACAGGATTTCGAATGACATGCAAGGACAGGGAATATATTTTTTTACACCCCCTTTCCTGCCCCCCCCCACCTAAAAAATACATCTTGGAAAATTCTCTTAAACATTCACACCTCCAAGTTCTTGGAATTATTCTCAGGGAATGACAAGGTTTTTCAAAGGGGCTATTTCAGGAGTCAGGCAAGATTTGAACAAGAATTAACATTTTTTTGGATGGAAGAGAACTGAAGGAGAGGCCGAGATTCATTCCATTCCAGCCGAGTCTAAAGTATGAAATACTCTGACCCATCATTGCTGAAAACCAAAGTTGTAGCTCTTCCTACGATGTTAGTCAGGGGCGGGTCTAAGCACCGAGGAGGGTTTTCTGAGATGAGATTAGAGGAAGCCCACATAATCTCTTTAAGATTAAAAAAAACCCCAAAACACGCCCTGACACTTTCAGCCACAGAAAGAAATGAAACCTTCAGACTTGGCCTGTTCCTCGCTGGTGGCAAGAGTGGACTTGTGGAATTATCCGGGAGGCTTATAAAAAGACGCGAAGCGGGGCTGGTAAAGTTTAAGATAAAAAGGGGTGTCAGTGCTTTTGGGGGACCCCTTGGCCCCCCGGGTTTGCGGCCCCGGGGAGGTGAGTCTTGCGATTCTTCTTTTATCGTCCAGCGTCATCAATATCTGTATTTCGTCGGGGACGTTCCCAGCGCCCCCTTCCAGTAGGAATGAAATGTGATCTACTTCCTAATAGGCAGAGGGGTCTCTGGTGCCAACAGGCAGTATTTTCCCCTGACCTCCTCTTGTGTTATGTTTCTGTAGAAATTTATTATCAGATTAAAAAAAAAAAAAAAGCACGCATGGAAAATTCTATTTTCTAACCCGGGAGGCATGCTCTTCCCCCAGCCCCACGTAGTCCTCCCAGGAAAACGCCTCTCGCCCTCTCCCGCGACGCTCACAGGACGCCCCGTGCAAGCTGCAGCAAATCCAAAGGGCACAAAAGTTTTAATTGCACCTAAAAAAAAAAAAAAACGGGAGCTGGGAGAAGACGTGGGTTGGAGGGAGGGCTGAGAAACAACCGCCACCAAAAGCCCCGGCATCATAAAGTGGATGGATGGCCGGAGGGGGGACTGGTTCCTCCAATACAACTTAGGCAGCTATTTTAAGGCCACTTCCCTTGGAACGGGGGGTTTGAAATATCACCAAAGGTTCCACGGGGGGCCTCCCTGTGAATTGCAAATCAGAGCCTGTCTCTAATCTCTCTTTCAAGGCCGGCTTTGGATCAGTGGCGCGGCCGGGCTCCCCGCGGCTCCTGGCCCAGGAGCGACCATTCAAGGGGGCAGCTTCTGTCGTCTTCCCACACTCCAAAAAACAACACCGCAGACGGACACCCTCCAACTAAATTAGATTAAACTCCTCCACGGCGTTGGCCTTTTCACTGCCCGGCGGCATTATGCGGGGCCTCCCCGTTTAAAGATACAGTGTTTCTTTCTCCCCCAGCCCGCAGGGCAACAGCAAACATACCCCACCCCCAAAAAGAGGGGGAGGGGGCCACAAAGCCGGCCTGTGTCCTCAAATTACAGGGACATTATCTGTCTAAAATATAGGAAGTTCTTAGCGCAGGCCTGTTCCCAAACACACACACACACACACACACACACACACACACACACACACGCACGTTGACCCTTAACCTGGGACAGGACGGGCCCTGAAAAAGGTCCTCGGGCCTGGAATTCTGTGTTGGGCTGTTTCCTAAAGAATTAGGAAAAATAGTTACAGAACTCCAGAAAAATGAAACAGAGTGTTTACGTGTTGTTGTTTTTTTGTAATTTTATTCCAAACGGCTCGAAGGAACCTTCCATCGGAAATGAGCTCACGTCACGTGAGATCGAACTTTAGTTGTCGGCCGAATCCCTTGGCTTCTTTGTCCCCCTGCCCTGGCCGTGTGGTCTACACTGATTTAATTACTCACCTTCCCATCTGTTTTCCTCGGCTTTGTCTCTCCGCCCTCCCCCACCCAGGGACCCTTTCCTCGCCTGTCCTGACCTTGGCCACATGGAGGCTCAGAGACAGGTCGGCCCCCTGCACGGGTGAGGGAGGGCCGGTTAGACAGGGACAGAGTGGAGACACCCACAAACCTAGTTCTCTTAGAAAGAAGCGTGAAAGGCCTCTGGGCCTGCTTTCGCCCTCATTACATTGGCCGAGTCTGAAACCACGTGGCCTACACCACGGCTGAGCCACGTGAGCCACATGAGACCACGTGTGATTCCCCTCTGCCAGGTTCTAGATACGTCGCCCAGGGTGAGTTCCTTCCCTGCTCTGTGCCTCAGTTTCTTCATCTGAGAAACGGGGGCCCGTGGGATACAATGAGATTGCGCCTTAACCCATGAGAAGTAGTTATAACAACGCCACGTGTCCTGATGCTGAGCCCATAGCAGCTGCTATCTTTCAGAGAGGGTTCGAGCCTCCTCTCATATCTCACTGTGAGAGAAGAGACCGTCATTACCATCGTGGCCGGCTCTGCTATCCTCAGGGTCAGCGGTAATTCAAATACAGAACGATACCTTCCATTGGGCTCAGACTAGGCCAGGGGAGGTAGTTTGGCTACAGTTGTTCTTGCGTGCAGTCTCCCTCATTTCCTAACGTGAGACTTGGGAAGGCCCCCTGACTGCTCTTGTAGCCGGATCCTAACCTCACCGAAAAAGACATGTCCCCTCCTGTCTGTCTGCTGGTTGGCCAGTGTCTTTCCCCTGCCTTCCTTCTAATATATGTAAATATACACACACATATATAATCTAATAAACATATATAATTTAATCTATAAATTCAGCTTCAAAATTAGATTTCGAGTATATATTTGTTACTCAA